AACATACATACACGCTCACAAAGAACGAAGACCAGAATGATACAATGCCATCAAAATACAGATCATTCATGTTCATCCATGTAAAATAATCCAAACACGGAAAGCATTATCGTTTTATTGCAAGATGAAACACATCTTTCCTATCAACAAAAGCTTCAAGTGCAGTTGTTTATTCTTCTTTTAGAGAAAATATCAGTGTGTATTCTCTTATAAGCCAACCCTAGTTACAGTATGAAAGGTCTATCTTTGAGTCTTGCACAGCTATTGGCATTTGTGCAATGTTTCTTTTCAGAAATGTTACAAAATACAGCAGAATTTAACCCTCTTTCTTGCATGTCAGTATTGGTAAGCATGTCAGCTAAAGTGGGAGGAAAGAATACAGATTGTGATATCCGCTCAAAAAATTGCTTTTGCATCCCTTGGAACTTCCACAACTTAAAAGGATGAGAAGTGAAAAGTGGTTTTCTCTTGGTTCTGGGCATACAGCAGTACAGAGGAGAGGGCAAAGCACAGGCCAAGTTTTTAAATGCAACACAAAGAACCAAGTGAATGTCTTTCACATTAGACATGACAGTTGTGCTCTCTGGAATACATCAGCCATAATAAGCCTCTTTCTGTTGTCCCTGCTGCCATATCAATGCACACACACACACTGCACACATGCACACACTGCCTCGCAGTAAATCTTTACCATATACCATCGCTTCTTTCGTAAGCATTTTGTCTTCATCAGCGGCTAAAATATGGTGTATAGGGTTACAGCAGACAGGCATGGGGATGGCTTCAGAGCAATAAGATAGCAGTAATGGCGCACCATCATTTAGGAGAATGTAATAAGTGAATATCTAATAAGCCTGTAAAAGATACTTAACCCCTGAAGCTCTGAGGTCAGGTGTAGAGATAGGAGCATAAGCTGATTAAGGAAGGTTTCTTCTCACGTTGCGGTCATCACAGGATTGACCAACTCCTGACCCCGCTGTTAGGAGTGCGGTTACCTTAGCCAAGAACCGCTCCTATGTTTGGATAAATCCGCTATTTATGGTGTTTGATAACAGCTTGTGCCTGATATGAAAAAGTAATAGGTTATGAATCTAAGTCTGGAGATAATGTTGGAGTTAATGGAACACCAAAGATTTAGGGTTTTACTTGGTTATTCACCTTTGCTCGACATTTGTCACCTTGGTTCCTAACTGAAAGCTATGAGTAGTGCCTCACACCATAATTCTAATATTGGGGGACTCTTAAGGAAACAGTTGCAAGGTATACTGCCATGAGTTGTAGGCTCTAGGCTTTGATACAGGGATACGGTACTAAATTGTTCATGACATTGTTTATATTGATCTTTTAAATGATTTGTTGTTTGCTGATTGATTGGCAAGAAGATACATTGGCCCTAATCTCTGGGGATTCTTAAATAAACTGAGACAGTCGATTTGAAAAGTGATCCCCACCTGTTTCTCGTGTGATGACATAGTTTTATCCCCAAATGAGAGACTTGGAAAAAGACAGGTGAAATGTGCCATGCTCAAAATGAATGATATCCAGGATTTAAGGTCAATCTCCGTCTCTCTCTGCTTCTTTTCACACTAAAAGGAAAGTGTACACACACACACACATACACGCACAGAAAGAGACAGATCCTAGAGCCATTTTCAGGCAGGGCAGCAGAGTGTGTCCTCATTAACGTCTGTGAGTGTGTAGTCACCACTCAGTCACAGCTCCTGCTGCCAGAATGGGATTTTCCCCTCTTTTCTCCTCTGACTCTTCCACCTCTTTTTCACCTTAACTTCTCTTGCATATCACTTCATCTACTCCTCAGACAGAAAATCATTATCAGTCAGGAAAGACAATTTCCTGCTCCTATGGTCTCTTATATACTGCCAGTCAAAAGTTTTTGAAAACCCTATATTTGAACGTTTTTTGGTTAAATTTCAAGTTCAATTGTCAGTTACTAGCTAGTACCCTAAAAAGTGTACTGAGTAATTCAAAATTCTAAAATAAAAAAAATATAAGATTTGAAAGAATTTGACTAGCAGTGTATGTGAACTGTAGTGAAGAATGAAGCACTACTGTAAAACAAATTATACTTTGTATCGACGTGTTTATTTGTGCACTTCACCAATATCTTACCAAACAAAGGCACTGAGCTCAGATTGCTCTCTCTATGTCTGACAGAGTAAACAAAACTGTTCGGCTGTAGTTAAAAGGTAGTTGGAAGCTCCTCTCCTTTGCAAAAGTAGCCAACGATTTCCATTTGCCACCAGGAGTAGCTGGAGTTTACAGTCTCCTGATAAAGGATCAAAGGAAGAGGGAGCGAAGCAGAGAACACACACGGATATTAGATTGTAATGGCGACCAGATGAACTTGTTGATAGAGTACTAAACAAGTCTAAACAGCCTAACACTTGGCTCGTTCAGACGAGGGCATTATCTGACTCTCCAGTTTACCAACTTGGGAGCTTAACAAAATGATGTTTATGGTTATTTGCTCTTCTGTTTGTCCTTGCAGCTATCTCAAACTGCCATATGTTTTCTTTATAGAGTCTGTAGCCTGTAATTCAGATTAGGAAGTGTGTGTGCTTTGGTGAGTGCGGCACAGTAATCAGGAAATGCATGGACAATGTATTCACTTGCACTTCTTCTACATTCACTGTGGTAGGCACCTGTCTGCTTCTATCCTCTCACGTTGTCAGCTTGAAAGAAGTTAAGTTGAAGGGGGAGAAACAGGGACTGGGAGTTGGTGGAGAGGGGAAGTAGAGGGAGTTCTGTTGTTCAGTTCGGTTAACTATGAAGCTCTCCTTTTTTATTTGATCTCCCTGTTCCTCAGAAATCTCCCAATCGCTCTGCAAGGGGGTTTTAACAGCAGCAATATGTGTGTCTTAACATCAGACGAGAGGTCTGAGCCCAGGTAATCGAATTTGGGATCATGTGATTGGACATGACAAGGGGGGCAGGATGGGGAGCCATTGGTCTGCTTGACATATTTCCGATCACACACACACAAACACACTAGTTTGTCCATTTTAAGAACACTTTGCCAGGTCACTCGCCACTCGTCGAAAAACAACATGGTTACTCAGTGTGCTGTTCACCCATCTGGCCTGATGGAGCTTCTTCCCCATGGTTCTGTTTTACGTGTGTAACTTCAAAGTCATGTTACTGCCTGTTCAGCCATAATGTGCTATTATGCATGGCATCTAAGAGCATGCTGGAGTACAAAGGGAACCACATGTGGAGCACTCCAAGTGCCCAAAGCTATATATTACATATGTTACATACTGTACACAAGATTGTGTGTGTGTGTGTGTGTGTGTGTGTGTGTGTGTGTGTGTGTGTGTGTGTGTGTGTGTGTGTGTGTGTGTGTGTGTGTGTGTGTGTGTGTGTGTGGGGGAGACTCTATATCACATAGCTCCAGCTGGACAGGAGGAAAAGAGGGTTAAATACATGCAGTTGATTTAAAAAGCATAAGATTATTCATTTCCCGTCTCCTGTGGGAACAAGCTCCCGCTCCACAGTGTAAGCCCACACTCGTATACATGCACACACACACACACACACACACACACACACACACAAAACTTGGACAGCAAGTCTTACCCAGTGTGCAATAATATCAACAATCTGCTGATTGCATGTTATTTAATACTGTAATATGTGGAGGTATTTTGAAAAGTGCTGGTGATAAAAGTGAGAGACAGAGGAAGAAATTAAACAAGAACAAGTTTGTAAAGATTATTTTTTTTCTCCCTCCTTATTGAAGTGGAGACATTTGAGTCTCAAGCTTGTTTGTGAAAAAGTTTGAAGTGAAATGGATTTCTGCAAATGAGAAAACAACATCAGGGCTAAGTAACTATTTGAAGGTGCTGTCAAAGGCTTTCTCTGTCTTTGCCCTCCTCCTTTCATCTTTCTCTCATCCCTCGCTCCTCCTCCTCCCTTCCCACTCTCATTAGTGATGGTTGTGAGAGAGTGGAGAACAAAGCCCAGGCCCTGCCAATCGATCACGGAGCAGCACTATCAATCGACTGGTGGAGCACAGGTCTCCTCCATTTGCCCAACGATTGACGGGTCAAAGATTGATGAGGAAGATTGTTGTGTCTGTGTGTGTGTGTTGGTGTGTTAATGCAATTGAGTACGTCTTTATTTGAGATAGATTACAGAAGATTGAATCTCATCTTGTTTGTCAGCTGCACATTTTAATTTGTATATAAATTAAGAGAATATCACATATGTGAAGTATGGTGTGTGTGTGTGTGTGTGTGTGTGTGTGTGTGTGTGTGTGTGTGTGTGTGTGTGTGTGTGTGTGTGTGTGTGTGTGTGTGTGTGTGTGTGTGTGTGTGTGTGTGTGTGTGTGTGTGTGTGTGTGTGTGTGTGTAGGTATGTATGCACACATGCCCTGAGGTGTAACAAAGCCCCCAGACACTGACAGATATTTGTTTTGGTGAATACTCTTTACCCTGGCAATATGTTTATGCCCTGGCAGCAGTAAACACACACACTCACACCACTACACACTCACACAAGCAGAATTAAATCATACACTGGCATGGAGTCACACTTTACCCTGGCACGATGTCATTGCCTTTCAGTGCTGTGACTCATGCCAATGCTCTAATGGATGAATCCTGCAGCAGTCTGAACCAGCATGTGTGTGTTTCAGCACGTTACCCTGTGTGTGTGTGTGTGTGTGTGTGTGTGTGTGTGTGTGTGTGTGTGTGTGTGTGTGTGTGTGTGTGTGTGTGTGTGTGTGTGTGTGTGTGTGTGTGTGTGTGTGTGTGTGTGTATTTTCAAGGTGTTGTGTAAACATTGGAATTATGTGTCACAGCTGGCCAGATGACTTGCCCCGGTTTCATCTCAAATTTTTGTGCATCTCTCTGGGAGGATGATGCTGCCACATTTGCATGAGAAAGGTTGTCAGACTAACACCTTTTCTTGTTTCTCTCCCGCTCTCCTTCCCCACCTCCCGCCTCTTCCCCCTCTCTGTCTTTTTCTTGTGTCTACAGCTCTGATAGCCATAGGCCAGTACAGCAGTACTATAGAGACTGTGGATGCAGGCTGGTGTAAGGACATCACAGACCAGGGAGCCACACAGATCGCTCAGAGCAGCAAATCCCTCCGCTACCTGGGCCTCATGAGATGTGACAAGGTAACAAGCCTCTGCCCATGATGTCTGCTGCTGTCTGGTTTCCGTGGTTTGCTCTCAAAAGATACAACTGGAGATGTTTTTTATGTACAGCGAAGCAGACTTTTTGACTACAGAACATTAGCATAGATGGACAACTGTGTACCTTAAGAGTTGAAACAATTATTTGATTTGTTGAATGACAGGAAACTAATCTGCAAGAATTATAATAATTATTTATTTATTGTTTTTTGGTTTTTTGGTTTTGGCAAAAAATCCAAACGATTGATTTCAGCTTCTCTAATTTGATAATTTTTGGTTTGGAGTATTGGTCATAAAAAATAAGCAATTTGAAGATGTCACCTTGGACTCTTGCAATGCGTGTTACACACACGCACATTTTCTAATATTTTACAGACTACATGATGAAGAAAAAACATGTCAGAAATTAGTTACCTACTTTCTTTAATACAGTTGTAACCCCCTTTTGGTGCTTTGAATGAAGGTCTAATCGCACATCTGTTGCCAATGTCATTGTAGAACTGGGCAATAATACAATAGTTTTGTTACCAGAAAAATGTATTATTAAAAATACAGGTAAAATGATTAGAATAATACAAAATGCAAAAATCCAATATTGCTCCTGCTCAGTGATGTTAAACAATGTCCATATTTGCCAATACACCCACATACTTTAAGGGGATAGTTACCTTACTATAAATGATGTATAAAAATGTCTGATATTTGACAAATCTGTTAAGTCTGTCATCTGATGGTTTATAAGTATTGCCCAACTCTAGTGCACACGCTTAAACACAGAAACATAATCAAACACATACACATGAACCCTCAAAAGACCCAGGTTAGGGCAACTGGCCAAATAAAGAGCATCCAGAGGAGAGCATGTGGAGTAGCTAAGCCACTGCCGCCTGTGCCCAGTATGTCTGTGTCATGCATCTTTGAGTCAGCTTGTTGGGTGATAACAGAAGTAAAGTGACATAATGACCCCTCTCAAACCAACTTTGAGATGCCTCTGGGTCTGAGGGACCATCTTTCCAAAGTCACCCTTAAACTCTCATCTGGCCTCTTACCTGTCCAATCGCTAACCTGATGGAAGCATATTTAGTTGTAGTGGCATGGTAACAACTCCACCCACCTCTCCAATTGGTCCAGCGGAGCTCCTACCACACAGATGCATCCACTTAGTGTGGGATCACTCAGTCTGACTTGAGTGGGATGAGGGCAGACAAGGAAGGGAAAGCGAACAGCTGGCTTACCCTAGAAACTTTAGCCTGTACTGATATTGTACAGCCTTGTGTCTTGTACCGTAGCCTGGTATACAACACAGGCCATAATCCCAGTGCTGGTGCGCCTCCATATGGTGAGTTTAACGGTATGTCTTAATGAGCCTTTTGTTTTCAGGTTGAGGCTAAATTTTACATTTGGGTTTTGGACTGAAGAAATTTAAAAGCCTCTGCTGAGCAGTAAAAAGTGCGAGCAGAAGTTGGCAGGGAAGCAAAGGAGGGAGGAGACATTTTGACTTATAGTCAAGGCCTTTCACCAGGTTGGGAACTCATCATTTTTATTTCTTCATTATAAAATCAGTGATATCTGCGTGTCGCGGCCTCGAGGTTGACCTTATGGATTTCTCTGATAAAAATGCCTACTCGGAGATCGTTAAGTGCGACAAGAACATCGGTGTATCATATTTATCTATTTATATTGTAATAAAATTAAAACATATGAGGGTCTGACAGTGACCCCATGTGTAAGGTCTCAGTGATGAAGCGGTGTACTCATTTCACATTATTGCGGACATGAATGTGTATCTATCATATTTATCTCGGAGTAATAAAGAGTAACTGCATTACATAGCAGGTGATCACTTAGATTCCATTTTCATTTAGTTCCCCCCTTGCTTCGCCGACTCAGTGACCCAACAATCGATATCTACAGCCATGCTAATAAAAATCTGTTCTGGAATGACCTACATCTTTACTGGAATAACAATTTTTCTTAGTTTCGCTCCACCGTATGCTTTCATGCTCCTGCCTTCTCAATGAACAGATTCACCTATCCCTCTGCTCTTATTTATCTATCCACCTCTCTCCTTAGATGTGATATTCATAATCATAATTTAGCCTGGAGGATGGAAAGATAAATAATTATTCTCCCTCCGCTCTGTAGGGGGAATTTAGGGATGACACAGCTAAATAAAGCAGTAATTGGTGCTATTAGAGTTGTAATGGAGTGTGAATCGAGCGGAGAGAAGATTTTGACAGTTTCCAAGGTCAAGTACATTACCAGCTCTGAATCACAAAATTAATTCACTGCATGCTTGCCCCCTTTCACCCATTTCTCTCTCTTCTCTCTTTCGCGCCTTAAAATTATGTTTAGCATTGCAAATGAGCCTGGTGTACTGGTGAGGATTGGTGTGTGGGAAAAAGACCAGCCCACGGCAGCTACTTTCTTTGTTGTTGTTGATGTTGTTTTTCATTATGTTAGGCGAGAAAGGGAGTTACAGTAGATAAGGTCAGGTTTCAGGAGGAGACAGAGAGAAGAATAGGGGTAATACGAAGTTGGCTCAGAGGGAAACGAATAAACAGAAATAGGTTGTTATTACTGCGGTCACAGTGAAAATGAGAGCTACAGAGCAAGTTAAAGAGGTAAAAAGGTGAGAGGCAGAGACAGACCAGGGGAATTGCGGTTATCTACAAGTCAGCCCAGCCTTCTCCTCAACTCCTACTCTCCTGTCTCCCCCTCCCCTCCATCCCTCAAACCACCGTCCCCTCCTGCTCTCTTCTCGAGATTCTTCAATCGCCTCAACTAAAGATCAGTGCTTTTGTTGTTCTGTCTGACATTTAATTTGAGTTTTAACATATCTTACATTTAGGCATTTACTGTTGCTGACAGTCCTCTCCAAGACAGCTCGCAATGTGGGGCTGGTTGATATTCTATTAAGGTCACGTTGACAGGGTCATTATTGTTTGTTGTCTGATTTGAGCTTATGACTTTTCTGCTGTGGAACTGATTCAATCCTTTGGCCACACTGCTGCTTCACTTTGCTTGAAGGAGTCAAGTGACTTCTAAAAAAAATCTGATCAAGTTAAACACTGCATTTTGTAAAAAAAATATAGCTTCACGGTAAGTTTTGCACCAGTTATAAGCACTTTGACCACTGCTTGGGGAAAAATTAGAAATAGGTTTCACAGTGGTCATAATCTGGGTTCTTAAATAAATCTAATAATAATCTGTCTCTTAAATAAATCAAATCAATATTTTAAAGTACTTTGCAAAATTGTTTTTAGTATAGGCAGTGCATTCAATTTGGTCATGATTTTTTCTGGTTTGCATTTGACATTTCAGCCTCTAGCAGTGTTGTATCGTGCTTTATTTGTGTATCACAGCAGTAAAATCCGGAGGCATGTCCAATTCAATCTCGGAGCAAACTAATCTCATCTCAGCACTTAATGCAGTTCTGGGAAAATGCAGAAGCTTGGGGATAACTCTCAATTCCACAAGGTTCCCACATAATGAAAGTCTTGTGCAAATTACTTAACTTTAGATTTCTCTCCGCCACAGCTTCTCTTCTTTATGTTGACAAATCCATTTGAATTTTTTTCCTCATGCCTCATTTTATTAAATTCTCCATTGTTTAAAATAAGGATGTAGTTGCGCTTTTCCGTCCATCCGTTTGTCTTTTGTGTAGTGTTGACAGCATGAATGACCAGCATATAAGGTCAACAGTACGTCTTCTTCATTGAAGTACATATTTCTTCTGTGCTCTTAGATAGGGTACTTGCTATGATGAAACATAAATAAGAGAAGGAGGTGATTCCAGGCTACTTTGCTGTAGAATGTGTTCTCTGTATTTGACTGAGCTTGATAGATTTTAATTGGTCTAACACTCTTAGCTTGACCTGTAACAACCCCCATTCAAATAGCTCAACCCCAGGATCTACACACTTGAGGAACCATCTCAATATTTACCCATCAACCAACTACTTTCTAAGCCAACATGCTGTAGCTAAGGGGGTCATTGACAGTGGCCCCAACCTGAAATCATTTTGCTTTGCCTACCAACCATGAATGTTTGCATTGAGAAAATAAATTGTTATATACAATTACACACAGTGGTCTGCTTTGGAAAGTAGTTATTTTTCATGAGAGCTGTGTTGACAGTGTTTTGGACATATTGCAAATACTCCAAAGTTAATATTTCCCTTACATGGACTATGCTTGGGTTCCATTCAGGATGTGTATTTTGCAGGAATTTAGTACAAATACTTGCAACACAGGTTTAGAAAAAAAAAATAGGCACGGATTAGAGGTGACAATATTGCAGTAATAAATAGACCTCCTCTTTAGCTTTAGCCTGTCTGTCTTACAGATGTTCAGGTAACCTCTGCAGCTTACATTTGGCTATTTAAAATAAATCATGGTTTGATTGTCTCTCTGTTTTTTCTTCTCACCCTCCCTCACTTTTTTTTTCCCTTCTGCCCACTAAAGCTTCCTCCCACACTAACTGATGTAGAGTTAAGTTTCAGAGCGGGTCCTGTCAGTTTTAGACAAATACAGTCTTGTGGTAACCTTGACACACAGTGCGGACAGCCCAGTCAGCTCTCCACATCAGCAGCGCAGCTCGGCCTGTGTAAATTTGTTTGGAATTGTCAAAACGCTGGGAATTTTATCGTAACAGCGTCCCTGAATGTCACAGGACTCAGAAAGTGTAGAATTCATTTAAGAACTGTTAACAGGATCCATCTGGCTCTCCTCATGTGGAGCTGTGTGAAGGATCGATTTCCTCCGTCACAGTTTATACAAACGTGCTTCCGTACTGTATACATTTTACTGCCAGGCAGCCTGGATTTTGTGTCCACTGCCTTTTGGACTGATGCTGATTTTTTTTTTGACTCTGTACAAACACAGACCTAGCACAAGCACAGATCTGTGTTAAGTCTATTTGATTATCAGAATATGTTCTTATTTAAACTCTCCTTTCAGTAGCTGGGTGATATAAATTT